TACTTTTCCCCTGCTCCTGGCCATCGCATTTCACTAATTCCTAGTATGTTGATGTTCATTCTCTTCATTTCCATCTTGATGTTATCCAGTTTTCCGTTTTGCACGAGTGTTCTGACATTCCATGTACCAATGTTCATGATGTTTCTACCATTTACTTTTTCTACAGTAGCTGGATGACGGTCGGGTATCACCCGTAGAACATGATGCTCCCTACCGGACGAGGTGATTCCACCGGAATCCCCATTCACGTCGTTATCTGAATACGTATTATTTTGAGGCATTAATTTATTGGGATGGTACAGCGGTGGTTTCCCCTTGCCTTCCGCCGGTTTGTATATGGTTTGGCTCCAATAGCCTTTGTCTAAAAAGACTTACCCTGCAAGGCAGCAGGGGGGAGAGGTAATGGCGCCTCTTACCCGCCGATGGCCATGTCGTAGAGTTTTGAGGTATTTTATAGAGTTAGCTGTCCCACCAACTAACTCGCCTCCTCTCAATGACCATCACCTGTTTTGGTCCACGGCCACTTATTCAATATATTCGGGGCTAACCTCTATATCTAGAGGCCTTTCCACCATCCGCCACCTGGTGGACGCGCCTAGTAGTAGGACAGGCTCCTACACCCAGCATGTGGAATTCTTCTGTGTAAAATTTTACGAAACTAACATGTTGACTGGTTTAGCTTAGCAACAACAAATGTTTATGTATGGCTGATTGTGTAATCGTTTATAAATATTTATTAGACATTATTTTAGAGCGCCTTGAACGCTAATATAGCACACATACACAAAAGATATTACACCGAAAATGAAAAAGAATTCAGGTACAGGTCTGGGAGCAAGACCTAAAGATCAGGTAAATGTGTCTACCTTCTTTTTCCCACATAGATTTTGTATAGGTTTTGGTTGGCAATCCTTCGGACGAACGGAGAATCAGACCCTCTTAGGGGACGCTATCATTGGTTGTTTACGGCGAGTGTAGGTAGGTAGGTAAGTTTTACCCCACCAGGACATTACACAAGCGATAAACACTCGTTGACACAAAGTGCCACTATGCGGATCACCCGAGCAGAGGTAGCGGAAAGCCCATTCAGCTGTTATGCCATATTTAAGGCTCGGCTATACTTAGGGCCCTCAACAAAAGCACAGTTATCGGTTCACTGACTGACTGACTGAGTTCTATCCCACTAGGACATCACACAAGCGATAAACACCCGATGACACAAAGTGCCACCATGTGGATGAGGATCACCGTGGAGAGGTCCCAGAAACCGCGTTCAGGCAATTGGCCATATTTATAGCCTGCCTACATTGCGGCCCCTGGCAAAAGCCAGAGTGGGGTTTCAAATAACAAAAAAATTACTTCCTGAAAAGGACGTAAGGATGTTGGATTGATAGTATGTCATCGGTTTATTGATTGATTGATTGACTTTCTACCCCACTAGGACATCACACAAGCGATAAACACCCGATGACACAAAGTGCCACCATGAGGATGAGGATCACCGTGGAGAGGTCCCAGAAACCGCGTTCAGACAATTGGCCATATTGATGGCCTGCCTATATTGCGGCCCCTGGCAAAAGCCAGAGTGGGGCTTCAAATAACAAAAAATTACGTCCTGAAAAGGACGTAAGGTATGAAACATATAATTGTGCTGTGACCACAAAAAATTACGTCCCCTAGAGTCGCTTGTCGTTGTAAGGATTGCCTAAATTTATTTGATTTTTAAATAACTTTATAAATTTGTTCCTGCACTGTGATCACTAGTTAAATTACTTAATACGTCTGTAAATATGTACATGTAGACCCATGGCGGGTACTGCTGTTAGAATCTGGAATGCTTGACCATCACACATTCTAGGCTACGATATGGAAGTGGGATGACACTCCCCACCTTTCTATCCCAGACAGTTCTCAGAAAATTGTGGAAATCCTCACATACTGAGTTTTGTGGTGCTGAGTCTGTCCCAGAGTGTACCAGTCGGAAACAATTCAGCATTTTTTTTTGGGGGGGGGGGGGACTAAACCTAGACCACTCAGTAGGTGCGCACACTATCGTCTGAGCCACTGAAATTCAAAATAGATGCTTTGACTTATAAATTAATATACAATATATCTGAACCAGGTCAAAATTCTCCCTACTCCAGGGATAGACTCAGATAAATAAGGTCATAATTCTCCTTACTCTAAGCCTATGGGTCGCAACACTTTTTTGGGTTGTACGACCCTTTCACAAGGGCCATCAGAAAGCACATATTCATTAAATTTATGAAGTAGCAATGAAAATAATTGTATATTTTCTCAGGGTCGTCACTGCATGAGTAACTGTATTAAAGGGTCATGGCATTAGGAAGGTTGAGAGTCACTGCACTAGAGAGAGCCAGATATTAACTTAGTGATAATTCTCCCTACTTTAGAGATAGGCAGAGATGCATAGGGTCATAATTCTTCTAACTCAGTGACATAATGCCTTATGTAATATCTTCTCTCTTGGTATTTCCCTGTCTCTTTTTCCCTGCCTCTTTTTCCCTGCCTCTTTTTCCCTCCAACTTTCCTCTTGTCGTGACATACTCCAGTTTCTTCTTTTGTCATTTAAATGCCTAAAGAATATGTATTGGCCTCTTGTGATTAAAGTAATCAGTTCTCAAATTGTAAATAAGACCAAGAACTACAGAACTGTATTTGTTTAATGCTGTTTATGTCACCTAATTTTTTTCATAACTGATGCTGAAATATAATCTTATTAGACTGGCAGCCCAAAGAATGTTCCAACATCGCCAGCATCATCTTCTGGTAGTACTGGTACTAGTAAAAAAGCTGGAACAAGTACTAAGAAACAGGTACGGTTGTAAATAATTACATGTGAATATTACGGAATATGTACTTTTTTTGTTCACAGAGCTATCACAGTGAGAAAATTAGTGTTACAAGGTTATGTACAACTTGTTCAAATGAAACTTAGATCTTTTTCTTCTTTACATTCACTACTTGTAATCTCCAGGATAAATGATGGTTCTTCATCCACTTCTGAACTTTAGTCTTTTAGTGTTATTTGCACATCGATTTTACAGATCTAGCTTACTTGTATGTAGACTGTTGATTCTTCACCTCTCAGGCAGATGCACTTTGACTTCGAAGGAAACCTTCCTAGTTAGTTGACTCTTATGACATGCTTATTACTGTGCAGTGAGTCTCTGCCCCCCCCCCCCCCCCCCCCCATATGGCACTGGAACCCACACGGTGAGCTATTTAAGGTATGTAGTAAATTATTTCAGGCAATTGTGTTATTTATGGTGTTATGACTTATTTATTGTTCATTAGCTTACATGACCTTTTCAGCCAGGACCTTCAGCTGCATCTCAAGGCTCTAGTAAGGCTGTTGTGCCAAAAGGACAACAAGGCATGTTGCAGAAATTACAGAATGCTCAAATGCCAATAAAGAAAGTAAATGGCATGTATGTCCCAGAGGGTAAGTAGGTAGTTAATCTATTCAACATGTAATGCCATTATGTGTCACAGAGGGCTTGCATTCTAATGAACCAATCCAGGACCTTTGGCCTTTCTCAACACTGCTCATCTCAGGGTTTCCCTTGGACAGCTTTGTTTTCTCAGTCCATGTGCTTCCCATTTTAGTGCCTGATTCTCTGTCCATATCTGTTCCTGATGTATACAGTTGTTTTGCCATCTTTTCTTTTTTTGGTAATTAATTTGCAGTTCTTCCCAAGTGAAATGAAAAGAAATTAGTGGCATAAGTCTCTGACAGCTTGGGTGAATGTTTCTTTATTAACATTTGTTCCTGTTACCAGCCAGTAGACTCTTAATCAGCTCAGACTGGACAGTTCTGTCCCTAGACTTATATATGGTTTATTGCATTTTCCAGCTAAAGTTTCTTATGTGGGTTCCAGGGCCCCATTTTAGGGGAACAAAGAATAAACCCAAATATGTCGTGAAAGGCAACTGGTTGGAGATTGGCAGAAATGGAAAAGTTGGACCAAAAGGCGCAGGTATTGCAGGCTACCTGTAAACAGTAAAACAGCATGTTAATGCCTTTATAAGGGTGTGCTGAAGAAGAAGTAGCTTAAGTTTTCTATAGAATGTGGTAGCCATTTCCACCCAAACCTGATGAGAAATTTCATTGTAGCATGATTTTCCCCACTACTGCTAAAGAGCATATTATTTTGTTTATGTCTTAGTGGTAGTGGTGCAGATTTTACTACCATTGTCGAGCTAGAACAATGGTAGGCACAGTACCAGTAAACCATTTCATTGAATATCAAATAACCAAACAGTTTAGTCATCTGGTCAGGGTGGAACACAATCAGCCAGCAGCTAGAGCATACTACTTGAGAACAACTGGCTGCAAGTCAAGAGGATGACCAAGAAAGAGATGGGTGAAGGGAGTAAAAGGTGCACCACAAATACGCAACATGACATTAATACAAGCTACAGAACTAGCAAAAGACAGGAGACTACATCTAACCCCTATGTGTGATGTTTACTGCATAAGCAGTAGGACAAAATAAGATGGAGTCAAGCCAGTAATTAATAATGAACCTGTTTATCCTGGTGACCTAGAAAAAAAAAAGAGTGTTTGGGGAGTTAGACTTGCTTGAGTTGTCTAATTTTAATCTCAAAAATATCATTAGCTGTCTCTTTTTTATCCTAAAATTTTAGTTATCCCATTTTGAGCTCAAGATATTATGGTCACCCTATTGATATAGCGCAGCTTTTATGTTTTTATCTTTGATAAGTGTATTTTATTTTTTTGTAGTAAATGGTATTATTACAGTGTTTTGTCGTCTCTCAAGATCTCAATAGTCAGCCGCAATTCATACTTTGCTTAACAATTAAGGAAAATATACCTCAGTTTGTGTATGTTAAAATGTATTGTTTACTTTTGCCTCCAGTTTCTTGTATATGATATTTTATCATTGGTATCAGGATATCGGATGCGAGTGATTAAACCAGCTGAGAAAGCAGATGTGGTGTCATTAGCAAAAGCAATGAATGACGATTTTGCTCCAAAGCTGAAGGAGTTGTTTGACACAGAAACTGCTGCTGCTATTGAAGCTCAAAAGACAGGTTTGACTATTATTTTAATACTATAATAAACTCGTAATAAACTCATTTTTTTCAACCTGGGTTGATCTGTATAAAGATTTGACATTACAGTATTCAGGACAAGTCCATATTAGTTTCGACTCCCTCCTCAACAGACAGCGAAAAGTCTCCATACCGATTGTACCCATTGTCATCTGGTGAACTACTAAATCTTGCCTTCTCCCCGAGTCTCGAGTGATGCCCAGAACCCACAGACACTCCCCACTGCAACATTCTCTCCAGGTGTGGAATTAATTTGATAAGACATTGTCTATATCATACTTTACTCCACCAGGCTCAAGAGATGTTTGAGCAGATTGGGGGGGGGGGAGGGGGGGGGGGGGATAAAAACAGTGAAAGATCACAAGTGCATTACTTTTAACTTATTCACTACCTTAATTTGGAGGAGTGCACTGGGAAGGAAACTAGCCTGGGAAGAGAAAATGAAACCTAGAACGCTCAGTATTGTAGAAGGACGGACAAGACCCTTAGACAGAGTGCTTATGGAAGTGTCCTGACGGCTGTGATGTCGAGTCATAATTCAACCATAATATACTTTCAGCAACAAATGCTTATGTTAGAAGAGTCAGGTCATCATACTTCCAACATCACAGTAAATGGGTCACCCAGTAGTTGCTCTAGTCCTGTGCCAGTGGAAATCAAATAGATACCCTTGTGAACTAATTCACTGAGTGAGTTAAGATAACACCTGCTTCTTACCGAAAAAAGTTAAAATAGGCTCAGTACTGACCCCATATCCTCATATATTTTATTTGAAAATTAATGCATGGATAACATAATAATTTGCAGTATATTAATCAAGTGTTGGCTCTGTGGATAAGTCGATGCAAACGCTTCGTAATGCTGAGATGCCGGGTTTGATCCATGCCATGGGCCTTGCATTGGTTTCAACAGTGGTATCAAGAAAGCCGACCGTCCAGAAAGCAATGGCAAACTACTGGACATAAATTGGCCTAGAAAATCCACACAACAGCCAGGGGCCGTTGGGGTTGGTTCTGCAACGTCCTGTAAAGGATACGAAACTAACCTTATATTAATCAAGTAATAATTGATCATGTTGCACAGGACTACATGAATAGTAACTGGCCAAATGGTTAATAACACTGGGCTCTAATTTAGGCGGTCCAGGTTCAACTCTGGTCATAGATATTTTCTTATGGGGGAAAAATAAAATCGACTACATGGCAGCTGCACTAGCCACACTGTCATAAATCGTCAGGCTCAAGACCTCCTTGTCCTACATCGCCCTGAAAAGTGGTAAGTGCAGACTGTAAAGACATTTTTTTGTTTGTTACACAGGAATATACGTTGCTTGGAGATGTCCAGACTTTCAGCATGACTGCCAGCGCATCTTCCACACATCAAGGTGCTTTTGTGATCATTCCTTGTCAGATCATGCATCATACAATGGTATGTAGAAATTCATTATATCATATCATTTAGTTGTAAAGTATAGAAATATGTTAATTATGCAACATGTGAATAGTCATCCTTCTTTTTTTCTGTTTCTTCTTCTTCTGCACTTTAAGGCCCGAGCAACGCTGTTTGTGTTGACTGAGAAGTTCTGATTTGCTCAACAACACCGTCTGCATCGATTGTGTGTCCTGTATATATTGATTCCCTACGGCTCCATGTTCATTTCTTAATGTTTGAAACTATATTAAAGTATTCAGAGAAGGTTACTGTAATGTTTTTCTTTGTATGCAAGTCTTTGTTTGCACATTTTGAGCGTAAAATGATCCCAATCAATGTTAGCATCATTTTCAGAGAGTGCATTTTCTAATTTTGTGTTGAACTGGCCATCCCTCCTGAATTCCAGTGTTCCAACCACAAGTAAAGGCCGCAAAATGCACTTTTATTTTACACCACCCCCTCTTCCATTTGTGTAGAGGGAAATTAATGTGAGCCAGGTCTGTCAAAATTCATGGGCCCAAAAGAGTTAATGGAACATAGGCCCCCAGTCAGTTCACTCCAAACTGCCCTGTCCTTTGCTGTGACAGGCAGCTCACTCCATATCCTTCCCATCATTTTAACTTCATCCCCTGGCTCCCTTCTCCAGGTGTTTTTTGGTCTGCCTTTATTTCTGTGCCCCTGTGAGTTCCAGGTGTAAAGTCCTTCTAGTTTTTTGTTCTCATGTTTTCTCAGCATGTATCCTCTTCGATGCTAGCATCTTTTCTTCACCTATTGATTCTCTTGAATTCGCTTAGCTCTGTCTCATAAAGCTCCATATTAGTGATTCCACCATACTTTTAAGATGATGACATAATAATACATAATTAACTTTTGCAGTCACAAAAAATTTGTTTTTGTATTGTCTCATTTCTGTGATCCTTCTCCTTCTCATTCTTTGCATTCACCAGCTGTAAACTCTGGCAGAAATTCCTAGTAGTTTGTCCATTTTTGGACTTTAATATTGTTCAAGAACTTGAGTTTTACATGCACATTCATTTTACAAATCTAACTATTTGTATGTTGGTTTCTCACTTCTTAAGCAAAAGTAATCAGACTTTAGACGATGTGTCCCTAAAATTAGTTAACTTATACAACATGCTTTTTAGGATCTATTATTTTTTACTTCCACAGTGGGGTCCCAGAACCCCATGGGGATTTCTGTGTGCCTAAGTCATCATGGAATGTGGTCCTGCATTTTTTTTTTAAACTTGGTCAAAAGCATGCCAAAGAAATCTGTTATGTTGGCTTTCTTGGTGAATTAGTCCCAATTGTTTTGTCCATTGGTTAAGACTGGTTAAAACATTGATTGCGATTGTGTGCATGTTTTCACTTGCCATCGTTTATGCATAATAGTCATAGTTTGTTTTGTTCAGTGACCACATTTCCTGTGTGTTAATTTAAAAAAAATATGTAAAGGCTTTTCATAATGGTTATTTAAAGATTAAACAACACATTACATCAACAAAGGTTTGGCTATGATATATTAATAAATCTCAAGACAGAATAATGGTATCTGATACCATTTTAGATATTCTCACAGATTGATTACTGTGTCAATAACACTATTATTTCTTCTTCTTCTTTCTTCTTTGCGTTCACCAGCTGTAAACTCTGGTGGAAAGTTCTAGTTGTTCCACCACTTCTGGACTGCAGTCCTGTTCCAGAACCTGAGTGTTGCGTGTGCATCCATTTGACAGATCTGACACATTTGTGTGCAGACTGTTGGCTCCTTGCCTCTCAGGCAGAAGCACTCTGACTACGAAGGAAGCTCCCAGTTAGTCAACTCTTACGACGTGCGTTTAGGTAGGTAGTGGGTCTGTTTTTGTTTTCCCTATAATAGGGCACTGGAACCCATACGGGGGACTGTTATTTCAAAAGCACACTTAAAATTGGTAAAACCTAACCGTCTATACTACTACAATCTGTTACGCACTGACTATATATATCTGCATATAGTCTATGCAGTATTCAGTAACAAAGGCAACTGACAAGCATAAATATCCAGTATCAAAATAGAAACAAATAGTATGTACACTCTTAAGTATTCCCAGATAGTTATTGTTATTTAAAAAAAATTACTACTACTATAACATCGCAGCAATGAGTGTCAAGGTGCCATGCAGAGTCCCAGGTTGTCCTTGCAAAGCCTACCAATGGATACCAAACAGGCCACAGGACATTGGAGAATTCTGGTTGCCAAAGAGGCCAGATTTTGATGCTGCAGCTTGGAGAGCCAAATGCAAATGCAAACATACACACAATTTTCATGAAGCAAATAGGCCCCATCGCTGCACAATTAAAGGTGGGTTCTGTTGTAAACTATGACTGGGTGGAAGTTTAAATGTGAAAAATCTTGTTTCAGTTTCATTGTCTTATGTTTCATATATGTAAGCAGATATATAGTCATTACTGTTTGCTTCACAGTGTATTTTACATATACTTTTTAATAGGATGAAACCAAAAGCCATCTCCCCATGTGCATTCCTGTTTTATAAATCTTGATTTAGGTATTCACTCTTTACTGTTACTAGTGGGCAAGTTCTGCAGGCACAGTCATTTCTCAAAGTAGCTGCAGACAAGAAGCACCTCCTGCATGAAGCCCTGGGTACAGTTAAAGATCACAGACTAAAAAGAGGAAGGTCTTGGATGGCACAAGCTGAAGACACAATAGGACATGTGTGCAGGCTTGATAATTTTGAGCGAGGAGAGGAGTGGGTCAAAGTGTCCGAACAATTTTCAGACTTGTGTAGGGTTCTAATCACGTTAGGTCATGAGTGCAGAGACTGGCCTGCTGGTGCTGCAAAATCAGAAGTTCAACAAATGATTTATGACAAATCCCGCCCAAGTGATGTGATTATCTATACAGATGGCTCTGTTTTGAGGGGCAGATGAAGTGCATGGGGTTTCATACCAAAGGCGAATGGACATCGCCTAGTGCAGCAAAGCCTTGCATATGATATCACAATGTCTAGTTTGAGAATGGATGTGGAGGCAGTCTCTGTGCCTTCCGCTGGCTTGAGAATCAGCTGTACACACATGCCGTGACTGTAACTGACTCACAGTGCATGTTGAAAAAGGTGAAAACAGGCATGCTTCGTGCAAATTGGCAAGCATCACTTCAGAGGTCCTGGGTAGTTAGCATCCTTTGGATATTTTTTCCAGGTCATGCCGGTGTGTTGGAAAATGAGCAGGCAGATAGACTGGCTGGCTCTGCACCACTTGGTGGTGAATTAATGTATGACAAGTTAGATATTGTGAGGGCCCTTTGGGAACGAGTGAACAGTGCAGATGCAGAGGCATAGATAGATCATTATGGTCTAAGGAGAATGACGCTGCGAGGAGTTACCAGGGGATCTTGCCGACGCTCGACACTCAGGGGAAGGATGAGACGGATATACAATCAGACGGTTACTGGTACCATCAGAATTGGAACTCTTCGCTTGCTGCTGAAGATGGGGACTGAACACTTATGGGAGTGTCCAGAGTGCTGTGATGACAATTCTTATTTCAACATTGTTCCTAGTGTGGGTTTGGAGGTCCCATTTTAGAAGAAAAAAGGATAGACTCAGTGCCCTCTAACAAGCATGTCATAAAAAGCAGTTAATCAAGGCCTTACTGAAATTGGATGTGTTAGCTGAAGGCATATTTGTGCAGCCTAGTAATAAACCACAACAAAACATGCTAACTGTGTTGTGGGGGCACTATCAGCAGCAGCAGAAGAAGAAGAAGAAGAAGAATCCTATACTACTTACTGTCTTTTATGTTTCACTGTGTTGTAGGTGTTGGATGGGACACACATTCAGAAAACAGGAGAACAGCATAACTAGAATGTCTTTGCATTGGAACCCATAGGGGCATAGGAATAAAGGACGGCCCAAAAAACACATGCAGAAAAGAGCTGGAGAATGACGTTAGAAAGATGGGGAGGACATAGGGAGAGTTCCATGTAATAGTGAAGAATAGAACGACTTGGCGTGAGTTTGTTGAGGGCCTATGCTCCATTTGGGAATAGAAAGGCAGAAGAAGAATGTTGTAGGTTGAAATCAGGTATGAGTAGCTTTGTTCTTTCTACTCTCATATTGTGTGACTGATACTGTTTGAATTCACATCTTCTTATATAGAAATTGTAATAATATATTATCATTGTATGAGCACCGAAGAAGTTAGAAAGGTACTTTATTAGATAATATTTTTTTCAGGTTGCCCATGTGGGCACTTTATGTCCGACTTCCTTTGTGCTGCCTGTGATCGGCACTGGGAGGAGCATCAAACATTCTTCGACTCTCACAAGTCACGTGTAGAGCAGGGACTCCCAGTTGGTGAGTTTGTTTCTTCTTTCTGCCTCCCTGTTGTGCTTTGAGTTTCTGGTTATGAAAAGCTTAAGAATACTCTAAACCAGTGTTCTCCACCTTATTTACACCCACAGCCCACTAGAAATGGCAATAGTTTCACAGCCCACCTGACAGGTAATGAAATATAAAACAAAAATAAATTTAGATAGAAGTTTATTTGTTAAATTCGGTGTCACAAAATTACCTTGTTCAGCTAATGAGACATCTTCCCCTGATTAGAGGTTAGAAAATCTGATATATGTGGCGGGTTGCACGGCCTGTCCTATGTTATGGGGATGTAATGAGATGGTTGCATTCAGTGTTCGCTCGCTGTGCATAATGTTTGTGGGAGGTTGCGTTGCCCTGAGTCTACAGCTACGATTTTCTACTGAAAGAAGTAGCAACCACTTGTACAGTATTGTGGATAGACAAGCTGAATGTTTTCATTTGTGGCAAGTTATTTGCTTCTGACTCTAGTTAGCTCTTGTATATGGACTGAAAGTATATAGTTCCATCGCCTAGCTACTGAGCTGATTACATGACACATCACTGTGAGCTGCAGATATCATTTGGAATATGTTTCATAGTTTATGTTGTGAACTGCAGATTCAGAAAATGGCAAGCGGCCTGTTGCCACAGACCTGGTGATGCACTTATTGATTAAGCATGTGCAATGACTGATTTGTTGTAACTGCTGCTTTCATTGATGATAACTGCCTTTCTAGTGCCAGACTGTCTGTGTTGGCACTTCTGACAGCCACCTTATGTATTTAATGTGTATGTGTATGCTGTTGGCTTTGCTGAGACTAGTCTGTGTCAGTTATTTCATAAGAAACAGTGACAAGCATTCTGTGTGGTTTTCATTGGCACAGGAGTGAAGCAATTATTACCAGAGATAGCCACTCTCACACCCTCCTTGGCTTGGGAACCAGTTGCACATATGTTGTGACTGTAGCAAACTTACAAAGGAATATGAGGAGGGTGGAGGCAGATATGTTCTGTGCAAACGGGTAAGCAACACTTCAGAGGGCTCATTCAGTTAGTGTCCACTGGATCTTTTCTCAGAGCTATGAATGTGTATTGAGAAATGAACAGGCAGACAACTGGCTGGTGCTGCACCACATTACAAGCTAGATGTGATCAAGGCACTTTTTGGAGTAAATGAACAATGATGAAGTTCAAAGTGATCATTATGGTCTGGTAGAACGGTGCAGCAGGGAGTGAGTAGGGCATCTGGCTGACACTCTACACTCTAAAGAAAGGCAAGATGGACATATAATCAAACTGCTGCTGGTACCATTAGAATTGGAACTCTGTGCTGGCTGCTAAAGATAAGTACTTGTGGGTTTATTATGAATGCTGTGATGTTGGTCCTAAACTCAACTCAACCCTTCTACCAATATGCATGGCGGGTTCTTTTTCTTCTTCTTCTTCTTTCTTCTTCCTCCTCCTCTTTTTCTTCTTCTGTCTTCCTCTTCTTCTTTTTTCTTTCTTCTTCTTCCTCTTCTTCTTCTTCCTCTTCTTCTTCTTCTACCTTTCATCAACTGGGCATAGGCCAGCAACAGACTTAAAGCCTTTTGTAGACCGTTTCTGGTTTATTAAATCTGACAGCTAACTTCCCCTGAATGATTGAATTTATTGTCTTGTCATTACGAGGGGAGAGGGTGGGGGCAAAGACCCATATACCATCACACCCGGTTTAGCCCAGGGGTCAGGCATTTCACCTGTGTTCTATATGTCTACACAAGCAGGATTGTGGCCATTGAGGCACTAGTATTTGGAAGGGTGTTCACATTTTCAGACGATGTGTTGGATATAGACAGGGTAGGGATGGGAATAGGATATTGGAAGAACTCCAATTGTGGTGGATACAATCTATGGTTGGTTTAGCATCACTGGATTGTTGATAAACTCAAAGGCCCAGCATTATGGTGTTCATTGAACAATAGAATTATCAAAGCAGGTCACAATAAATGGAAAAGTGATCAGAAGGGAAAACACACTGAAATATTTAGGCATTACAGTTGACAGAGGACCGTCTTTCAAAGACCACGTCGATGTGGTTATCTTAAGAGCAAAGAAAGGACATGATGCACTAAAGGTTAAGGCTGCTTTGGGTGTGAAACAAAGAATATTATACTCACTCAGTCAAAGCCTAGTTTTTTTCAGCCATTGAATATGGTCTGGGGAGGCTAACTGTGTCAAAGACGTTTGGAATCTTGTGTGAATCCATTTCCTTGACATGTAGAGGTACAACAAAACATGCAGAGAATTCAGGCGGAGGAGTACGCTGGGGGAGGATACTAGCTTTATCTTAGAATGAAGAGATGCAACCCAGAAGCTTATGTTATGACATGGCAGACCAGACCTTTAGCTGGTCGAGGAGGGAAGCTCAGACAGGTGGACACCACTATTTAGATTCAGCAGTTTCTAAAACATGCTTTCTTTCAAATATATTATGCTGTGTTTCCTTTGGAGTTAACAGATCAAGGTAAACACATTGTTTCTACAATACTTCCCATGCTTTGTGGCATGGAGAAGGACTTTATCATTGGCCTTAATTGTTATCATCATAGGCTGTGATTCTATGCCTCTTTTTAGCACAACCAAACACAATTGTCTTGAAAGACACAGGCCAACAAATAAGACACGGTTACCTCAATCTTTTGTTTTTTCAGGTACTGATTGGCTTCCCTTTGCTGAAATGCCTGACCTGCGCAACATTGCCCTGTCTGGCAATGAAGCTGACGACAGCCATTACCTGGCACTGAAGCAGTTCGATACTATTCCATCACAAACTGCGACAGGAAATAATGAGGTGGTCAAGTTCAAAGGAGGTAAAGGTGGAAGTTCAAGCAGAGGCAGCACCAGTGGGCCATCAGGGTTCAAACCTACATATGATTAATAAACAATATTGAGTGGGATACAATAGTAGAAAATGTGATATTAAGTGGGTTACAGTAATATATAAGGTGATAATAAGTGAAGTTTTTGTGCTTCGGTTTTAGGAAATCAGTATCATTTTTTTCTAGCAATAATTTTAGAATTATTTTGAATATGCAAGCTACTTATTATGATTGCATATTTGCTTACTCAGGTTACTTAACATGTTGCTAAAGGCTGAGGATAGGGCGCGCCACGCCCTTAGTCTTGGTTGGCAGCTGTATAGGAGGGAAGCTCTGACAGGGAGACAATCAGAGCACTACTCTTTTGACCTGGCAGTTTCTTCAGCATGCTTTATTCCAAATGTAATGGTGTTACCTTTCGTTTAGAATAAACAAGGCAGGTCAAGATGGAGATGATGCTGCCTAGGCATTTTATGGTCTCTACAATACTGCCAGGCTTTGTGCTATGGAGGACTTTCATCCCTAGTCTCAATTGGTTGTGATTATCATGCCTCTGTATACAAGAATATAACATGATCGTCTGGAAAGATGTAAAGTTGCCAAAGAAAGGCCCAGGGTGTAATCTATTGCCAGTTTGATGCAGAAGGCAAGGGAACATTACCACATTATTAGTGCCAGCGAGGTAACTGGACATTAGATAACCCAGGGCATGAAAAGACATGAGACTCAGGGGACTGGCAAAGGATTTAGAATCTCCTCGATGGGTGGATTGTGATGAAAGCAGCATTCTGCAAACGACTTGTTACAATGTTGACAATTGATTTTGTCGATGACTTAACACTGGTCAGCCGAGATCTTGTTCTGCCAAGATTATTTTTATACATCTATTGATGAACGTTAAATGGGACATCTACACCACTGGGTGGTGAATTGATACTTGACAAAGCAGGAGTGGTCAAGACCCTTTGAATTAGTAGAGAAACAAGATTATTATGGCCTGGATGTAACCAGAGGGTCTGGCCAGCTCACTACACTAAGAGGAAAGGCAAGACGGACATATAACCAGATTGTGACCGGTACTATCAGTATTGTAACTCTGTGCTGGCTGCTGAAGATGAGGACGGAGAACACATGGGAATGCACCCAGTGCTGTGATGTCAATTCTTGACTCTACTCAACTAAATGGGACTTACTGGTATATACACTTATAAGGGAAAGATGGAGATTCTATGGCATCCTGAGGCGAAGCAGACAAATAATCACAGAACAGCCTTGTAAATGGAGAACATTAAGAAGGCTAACACGGGCTAGAAATATCTGAAGAAGTCAAATGTGATGGCCGAAAGGCAAAAATATCACAGCCTTGCTATAAACAGGCAAAACACGATTTATGTTCTCAGATGAATTTGAATGAAAAAGAAGAAATACAGAACAAATGGATTGAGAAATCAAGGTTGTCCAAGAGTAACTCTATGATGGATACTGATGAAAGAAGCTAAACATGCAAGACTGGATTCCATCCACAATATCAAAAATATTGCACAGGATCAAATGGGATGAAGGAATCGACTGCAAGCACTGCATGATGATGATGATGAATGGTTGTAATAATGTCTGGAAAGTGTACAGTCGGTATTTTTCAATAGTCAGTCTATTTTTGTAAATGTTTTATGCAGTTGCAATACTTGATATAGCTTTTTGGTGACTGATTATATTGTGATATGTTCATTTCTATTTTTTATTGTGCGATAATGATGAATGTTTTTTCTTTAATTCATTAGTTAATTTATTTTTGGCACAGTTGATCATGTGTATTTCTGGATACTTAAAAATTGGGCAGTTTGATCCGGGTATTCATAAGACATCAGGGCCATTTGATCAGGGTAAACAAAACTATTATTCAGTGAACTCTTTCAGTCCCACATCATACTTCATAAGCTCCTGCCTAGAAACTCAATGAATGCAAGATGCACCAATTTCATGTATTTCCTTACTACCCCTTGGGTTTCTGATGCTTCACCCCTGGGGCTGAAAGGGTTATGTTTAAAATGTCAACTTAAAGACAATAATTTTTAAAAAAAGCAATAACTGAACTTTCTTCCTATAGAATTTTATCTTATATAACTCCTTTCATGTCCTTCCAAATTATGGCAGTCCACTACCTGAGAAGATAGAATTCTCATCAGCAAAGGACCACAATCGTATGCAGAGAAAACTAAAAAAAAAAAAGCTGTCCTCAGAAATTGAATGTGTCATACTGTTTTGTTGTGGTTTTGTGTGTGTGTGTGCGTGCACGTGCAAGTGAGCGAGTGAGAGAGAGAGTGAGTGAGTGAGTGAGAGAGAGTGAGTGAGTGAGTGAGAGAGAGTGAGTGAGAGAGAGAGAGAGAGGCAGAATCGACGCATATGGTTTAACTCGGTAGAAATGGCCATATCCTCCCCAGTCCATCCACCTTAATCTCCAAGCTCCTAATGCATGTGTCTTTCTGTATCTCTAGCCTAGAGAGTTCCAATGCAAGGACTCTATATCATCACCAGATTCTCTCAGTGTATGCCACATCTGGCTGCAACATACTCATCCCAACCCACTAGACCTTGTCTAACCCTCTGAATACCCAGACCCAAAACCCAACTGCCCTGTTGTCTCATGATTCACACAGGCACACATACACACACAGGCACATACAAAGACATACACACAAACACAACAAAGACACACAAACACACACGCAGGCAAACACACAGCCACATACACGTAGAACACACAGACAAGCAAACACACACATAGACACATGTAGACACACACACACAAATACACATGCAGACACATACACACAGTCCTACATGCACACAAACAAACACATACAAACATACAGACAGATAGAGAGACATATAGAGATCAACTGAACGCCAACTACTCATGTCATTAATGGCTCCTACTACAGAGAGACAAACCTCAAGCAAGTTATACGTTTTAAGTACTTGTGTACTCTGACCCTTACAACATATTATGTAATGATGGCAGCTGTACCAAAGAGATCAAGATAAGACAAGACTTGATATGGCAACAGCTGCGATGTCTCCGCTAAATACAATGTGGAAGAGCAAAGTCAGCATCACAGTCAAGGTGAATATTTACAAATCACTGGTATTGTCTTTTTTCTTATACAAATGTAAGAGTTGGACTCTCGCTGTGGAAATGGAAAGGAAGATTCAGGCTTATGAATGTAAATGTTATAGATGCATTTTACGAATTAGTTATTTAGAACACAAAACTAACAAACATGTCAAAAGTAAAATATACAAATTTGCAGGACATTAGGAGCCTCTCTTGGCAGTTGTGAAATGTCGCAAGCTAGCTTTGTTTTAAGCACCTGGTGAGACATGATTTGATTGCAGAGTCTGTGCATCAAGGAACATTGGATGGCAGTTGAAGAAAAGGAAGGCAAAGAAGAACCTGGAAGGACATCAAGAAATGGACAGGACTAAGTTATCATACACTTATTCATCAAGTGGAAGACAGAGAAAGATGGCGGGTTTTATGTGCTAGTGCTTCCATCAATACACCTCCACGACCCTAACGGGTCAACAGACAGAAAGACAGACAGAGATCAACTGTACGACACCTATCTCATAAAAAAAAAAAGTAAAGGTCCCTTTTCCACGCCTTTAGGTGTATAGGGCATATAGGGCTAGACCTATATTTTTATAGACTAATCGGCTCTAGACTAGTGATGTCGTCAGCATCACAGCAGCCGCCTTTACTTTCCCGGATTGCACCCGGTACCCACAGGGCTAGGTCGACCTGGAGGTCAAGGTCATTTTTGAAAAAAGCCCGGCTCCTCCAGGGATAAAACCCACGACTTTCCGATTTGCATGCGAGCGTCTACCCACTACGCCGCTGCGACTCCCTATCTCATTACAATGTCATTAATGACTTATGTTGCTACATATTACCATAATAAAAAGTTGTCGTATCTACTCATAACTTAAATTTACCTGCGGGCAAAAGACAAAAGTAAAAATCATTATCTATTGGAAAAACCAAATAAGTTTATTTTGGTTTATTCAGAATATAGGAGCAAATACAACTGCACAATAATAAATCACCAATTATATTCAGTAGCCAACTATGTTTATTGCTGAAACTAACAGATGAATAAATAGCAGCAGACAAATGTCTGAGGGAATGACTGATAATTTATGCATTATGTATTCCTTTATAATAAAACAAAATTATGTCATCACAATGTCTTCCTTCATATTCACACCAAATGCGGATAACAATGCAGCACACATCACTACTCAAACAAAATCAACAGAAATTAAATGCATCATTAACTGTGCCAGTAAGTTAACAAGTAAACGTGTTCTCTAAATGCACCATTAACTGTGCCAGTAAGTTAACAAGTAAATGTGTTCTCTAAATGCATCATTAACTGTGCCAGTAAGTTAACAAGTAAACGTGTTCTCTAAATGCACCATTAACTGTGCCAGTAAGTTAACAAGTAAACGTGTTCTCTAAATGCACCATTAACTGTGCCAGTAAGTTAACAAAGTAAACGTGTTCTCTAAATGCACCATTAACTGTGCCAGTAAGTTAACAAAGTAAACGTGTTCTCTAAATGCACCATTAACTGTGCCAGTAAGTTAACAAAGTAAACGTGTTCTCTGCACCATTAACTGTGCCAGTAAGTTAACAAGTAAACGTGTTCTCTAAATGCACCATTAACTGTGCCAGTAAGTTAACAAGTAAACGTGTTCTCTAAATGCATCATTAACTAAGTTGCCAGTAAGTTAAAACATTAGTGCCAGTAAACGTGTTGTTCTCTAAATGCATCATTAACTGTAAGTTAACAAGTAAACGTGTTCCAGTAAGTTAACAAGTAAACGTGTTCTCTAAATGCATCATTAACTGTCTCAACAGTAAGTAACAAAGTAAACGTGTTCTCTAAATGCATCATTAACTGTGCCAGTAAGTTAACAAGTAAACGTGTTCTCTAAATGCATCATTAACTGTGCCAGTAAGTTAACAAGTAAACGTGTTCTCTAAATGCACAGT